TGAGTTCGATCCTCACTGGGCGCCCCTTATATTTGGCATTCTGCCACATCTAAGCTATTCTTGGAAAATCACTAGGGCACCTCGTGGCGTTGTAATGGGTAGCAAGCTTGTCCCGCTAGAACAATTACGACTGAGTAGTGATCTCGATCCTCATTGGGTGCCCCACCCCTCCCACTTTCGGCCTTGTGCGTGCCACATCTAAACCTCGCTTGGAAAATCACTATAGGCACCTCGAGTGGGTGTAATGGTTAGAAATCTTGTCTCGCTAGGACAATTACGACTGAATAGTGAGTTCGATCCTCACTGGGTGGCCCATACTTTCGGCCTTGTGCCACATCTAAGCTATGCTTAGAAAATCACTATGTGGCACCTCGAGGCGGTGTAATGGTTAGCAAGCTTGTCTCGCTAGGACAATTACGACTGAGTAGTGATCTCGATCCTCACTGGGTGGTGCAAACTTTCGATCTTGTGGCACATCCAAGGTACGCTTGGAAAATCACTAGTGTATTTCGAGGCGGTCTTATGGTTAGCAAGCTTGTCTCGCGAGAACAATTATGACTGAGTAGTGAGTTCGATCCTCATTGGGTACCCCATTTTTTCGACCTTATGCCGCATCTAAGCTATGTTTGGAAAAGCACTAGGACACCTTGAGGCGGTGTAATGGTTAGCAAACTTGTCTCGGTAGATCAATTACGACTGAGTAGTGAGTTTGATACCTTTTTGGTGCTCTCTTTTTCGGCCTTGTGCCACATCTAAGCTTACGCTTCGAAAATCACTATTTAAAGCCAGAAAATATTTCTAGATTATCGGATTTTTTTTTATTTTTGAAAATAATAATTATTTATTGATAGAATTCTTTCTAACTCACCCATAGATGATGTTGATTCATACCTTTCCCAAGGCTATTGGTGCGTAAGTGAATATAACGAACCCAACCGGAATTGGAACTCAGCTCTCTGATTTATAATTCCGAGTAATTATCTCTATCTATAAAAGGCAGGATGTGTGTGTGTGTGTGTGTGTAACGAATGCACGGCCGCAATTTTCGACGGATTTGCACCAAAATTTACATGCACATGCTAGCGGAAAGTCCAAGACCGACTTTGCATTTCCCAACTCCCATCGATAGTGGAAATAATCGATTTTTTCATGCTTCTACGGCAGTTTTCATGTAGTTTGAGGCCATTTTCTAGTGGCCAGAGTGAGAGCCTATAGCTGGCTGCCACGAATAGGCAGGAAGATTCTATTGGCCAGCGTGAGAGCCAACAGCTGACTGACACGAATGTTAAGTAGCATGCTAGCATGCAAAAAAAATCGATAGTTGCATTCGACACAATTGGGAAAAATTTAAATCTGCATGGCACTTTACTCCAATTGGCTCATTCACTTGCTTAAACTCAACGTTGATTCTGATTCCGCAGAACTGGGTTGGGTGTGAAAATGTATTTGTTGTTAACATTCTTTTTTCATTCGTTTTTTTCCAGTTACGAGTCCTTTTTTTAAAGCTGATCGTTTTGTGTTCATTTTGTTTAGTTCTTTTTTCGTAACAGATTTAATGTTTAGTATAGAGCTTAGAAAAAGTTCGCAGTGTGAGACAGGGAAGAAGTAAGGCATATAGCAACATCAGCACGGCAAAGGGCACTCCTTTAAAGCCAAGGAAGGGCAAAAATATTTTAAGTCAAGTGATTGCGATAGTTGTACGATTTTTGAATCAAGCACGGGCAACTCCGGGCCATGCTGCTAGTCCATAATAAAAGCCGTATATCTTACAACCAGAAAATATTTTTATATATGCAAGAATTTTTTTTTAATGATAATTATTCAGTGATACCAAACTTTCTAATTTACACTTTTTACATTTTTTCGGGTTGTTGTCCTCATCTTCATTGCCATAATCAAGACGTTTCAACCGTTGAACACGTCGACCATCTTCAGAATTTTGGAATTTCGAACTGAGCACTTTATTTTGTCCACCAGCGTAGATTGTTCTTTGTTCCCCGTATCTTCCGGATTATCAGTTATCTTCTCAGTTATCTCCCCTTAACATAACGCTCGATGTTTTTATTCGCCTCTGCTGTAGCCAGGTATTGAACTCACAACTTTTGGGATCAAGTCGCTGGAATCAACCAAACGCTTTTATCCACTGGGCCATATAGACAGATATTGACGTCTTACTAATGAACCCTTAGCTGGGAGAGAAGATGTGGATTAAGGCTTTCCCAAGGTTATTTTCTGAAAGTGAATATAACGAACCCAAGTAGAATTGGAACTCGGCTCTCCGATTAACAATTCCGATAATTATCCATAACACCACCCGCCTTTCAAAGCTTACATCACCTGGCATTCCCAAGCGGTCACCCATCTAGGTACTGACCAGGCTCGACGTTGCTTAACTACTGTGAGCGTTCGTGAAGTGTTAGCAATTAAACGGGATTCAAGCTAAAGAATCATGAATGTCAGGAGAAAGAAAATTCTTCATCAGATCTCAAAGACTGGCAGTAGATTTTCACAAAGAACTTTACCAAATAGTGGAAATGGCATCACTCGAAGACCTTCAACAGCGACAGCAACTAAAATTGGTATCACATGTAAACCGATGAAAAATAATGGTACAATCATTATATTGACTACCACACTACTTCGAACAAAAGGCTAGGAAAGAAACCTCTAGTAATACTAGAAAGAGCGATGACACTTAATGGATGTGAGAAAGATTTTCTTGAAGAACTCTTTAAAGAGAAAGATCTTATAAATTTCAACCAACATTAAATTCTAACTGTTCAGTCATTGAATGTCGAATATTTCTTTATAAGGAAACGGCTAATCTCACAAATGGCCATTACCATTATCTCGGATTCCAAGTCAACCTCATAGCAGATTTTAAAATGACAGTCACAAAACACATAAAGGAAACTGATGACTGACCAAATTCGACTTGGTAATGTTCAATCTACATTCACCTTTGCGATGACCTTTACGACGACACGTAAGTTCCTGGTGACATATTTGATGGCTTCTGGTCAAACGGCTTTAGGCAAGTCACAGAAGGCTCTTTGTCGCCTGTCAATGTTTATGATAATTTTCAGATGGAAGGAAAGGTTAATGTTTCATTTACTGGAAATCGCATAGTCAGCATTGGGTCTTTGAAACTATGACATTCTGAAAGCAAAGTTTGAAGAAATTTTGCTACGGCAACGATTTCGCAAAGTTATTTAACAATCGTTGTCGTTGTTGTTATCGTCGTCGTCTTCTTTTGTGCCGTGCATCCTCAGGATATGGACGATCATATCTCTCCACCATTTCCTGGTCGTTTTTATCCCATAGTAAATGTTGCCGTTTTGCTATCTCTCCTAATCCCTGTCTATCAACGATTTAAACATGTTCATTAAGTAGGTCATTTGCTGATTTGCTCTGCCTTTCTTGACTACACTATGTACTGTGAGTGTCAATTTTCCAAGCCCTCTTTCCTCATTATGTACCCTAGAGATTTCAAGTGTTTATTTCTGATGATAAATGTTTGTGCCAATTTTGTTTCCATTTTTCTTAAAAAGAACTTTGAAGTTGCCCACCAGTTCAATGAATGCTATTCTCAGCATCCTTCTGTAGAACCAAATTTCTGTTGTGTCGATTCTCATGTATCATCGGATACTGTCTAATATTGCCACATAGAAATCCCGACATAACAGTTCAGTAGTCTTTTCTTTCCTACCAATGATATTTTCCCTTTTTTTTTTTCTTAATATTTTGTTTTCCTTTGGAAAGACATATTTCACTATCTGAGTAAGACTTCGGATTTCGGTGGCGTATATCAGTGGTCCCCAATTTTTTTTTTCCTCAAATGAAAGTTTGCTCCCGTCTCATCAAATTTTATATGATGAAAAGTACATTTAGAAAATTAAAATAAAACAAGAGTGGGTTAAAGGGAAATAATTGCGGATTCTTTATCTTTGATAACTCTCTCCTACAATTTACAGAGCCTCGTTACGATATTCTTAATACTTGATATAATATAAAAATATCACAATTATAAATTCGGTCAATATTATTTATAACTGGGGCCCAAGCATGCAATTGCAGTCAGTTATGTGCCATGCGTGATACACACTCAATAGACCATGTATTTTTCGAGATTGTCTAACATTCATTGTCATAGATAAAAACTTCAAATTTTCAGTCCATCGTATTCTCAGCTTGCTTGGTTTAATTTTCTTCTTCATACGTGATTACATTGTCGCGCATTTATTGTCATAGAGAGAACAGATATTATATAACAGTCCAGCCCTCTTCCATACGTTGCTAACAGAATTTTTATGTATCTTAATAATTTGCTTAGCTTTTGGTAGGCATCTTTCTCTATTATAATATGTCTTCGTATTTCGGTGTGTCATTGTCCGTCCTCTGTTAAAACACTTCCAATTTTTCTACTAGATTGAAATTGGTGTCTCCATTTTGTAAATCGCAGCTTGAGCTGTTTTTTCTTTCCTGATAAGTATAAGGTTGGTGCAAAAATAATAACGTAAGAATGTCGTTTTTTAACGTAGAAAAGTACGTCAAAAACGACATTATTACGTCATTATTTTTGCACCAACCTAATATATATTCTATCTTCTTAAAATTGACGTTTAGCCTGTCAGTTTTGCTTTCCATTACTACCTCGTGTTGGAGTTTTCTTTCTATGTCAACCATCATCATTGTGTCATGTGCATATGTTATGTTCTAAAGATTGTGGACGCCAATAATGAATCCTGCTAAGAATTCTAAATCTTCACGAATTTGATTCTCTGTAAAGGTTACTGAAGTTAAAATATCATCTGCAAATAGACGAAGATTATTTTGGTCACGTGGAAAGAAAATGTGGCGTATAAAGACTCAGGACAACACATTTTTTTTTTTTTTTGCGTTCGAAAGACGAAGGATTAGAATCGAAAGTATTTTAAATATTTAAAATGTTTAAAAAGTGAAGCGGGTGGAGAAGGTGGAGGAAGTTTAAGATCAAAAACAGTCGCGTGACGTGAAGGGGAAAAAGTAATAGATTGAGGAAAATAATACAAGTGAGATAAGAAAAAAAATTGAGAGAGAGAGAGAGCAGGGAGGTAGCGAGGATGGGGAGGTAATCATGTTAGAGACAAAGTTGGGGGCACATTCTGATGTAAACAAATATACTTGTTTATATATATTCGCACAGTGATATATATATATATATATATATATATATATATATATATATATAGATAGATAGATAGATAAAAAATTTTGTAATAAAAATTCATATACATATTTATTTATGTATTTATATATACCTGCAAAATAAAATAAAATACAAATAGATAATGTGCAAATTTATATATATATATATATATATATATATATATACAAATAAAAAATTTAGTAATAAAACACATATACCTATATGTGTGTGTATATATATATATATACATATAAATAAATAATATACAGATAGATAACTAGAAAGAAAGAAAGAAAAAAGAAAGAAAGAAAGAAAGGAATTTTGTTATAAAAATACACACACACACACACATATATATATACAAATAAAAAATTAGTAATAAAACTACATATACCTATATGTGTGTATATATATATACATATAAATAAATAATATACAGATAGATAACTAGAAAAAGAAAGAAAGAAAGAAAGAAAGGAATTTTGTTACAAAAATACATATATATATATACACATATATATATATATATATATATATATATATATATAAACAAAAAAAATTAGTAATAAAAACTATATATATATGTGTATATATATATACATATAAATAAATAATATACAGATAGATAACTAGAAAGAAAGAAAGAATTTTGAAAAAAAGGAATTTTGTTATAAAATATATATACACATAAAAACATTAGTAACAAACTACATATATATATATATATATATATATATACAGAAATAGGAAAAAGAAAAAAAGAAAGTAATTTTTGTTATTAAAAAATATACATATATATATATATATACAAATAAAAATTAGTAATAAAATATATATATATATATATATATATATATATATATATATACATATAAATAAATAATATACAGATAGATAACTAGAAAGAAAGAATGAAAGAAAGAAAGGAATTTTGTTATAAAAATACACACACACGCACACACACACACACACATATATATATATATATATATATATATATATATATATATAAATAAAAAATTAGTAATAAAACTACATATATCTATATATGTGTGAATATTTATACATATAAATAAATAATATGCAGATAGTTAACTAGAAAGAAAGAAAGAAAGAAAGAAAGAAAGGAATTTGGTAATAAAAATACACACACACACAAACATATATATATTACTTAAAGCTTAAGTGGATACTCGTGTTTAAGTAGACGCTCCGTTTATTTTTGAACAAATAGTATATCTATTTATTTTAACCTATCGTTCAGAATTTATTAGAGAAAAATTTATTAAAATATATTAGAAGAAATTATGCGCTAGACCGCATACGTTTCTCTAATTACAATAAACGGGTCGTCTACTCAAATACAAGCATCCATTAAAAATAAGGATTACGTGATAACAATCTCTCTGATTAATACCTAAATACAAAATACATCCTTTCTTTGCAAAGATATATATATATATATATATATATATATATATATATATATATATATATATATATATATATTATAAATTGATTTATTAAAAATATGTTTTTTTTTCGCTACACAGTTCTAACCATGTTTCAAAAATGGAAGCTAAAAGCTCCGAATTTAATTTTGTAATTAAATTTAAGACATTAGTTCCATTTAATTCTCAAGCGAATTTTGGAGTAACTTTTAAAATTACTGGGTTTTAAAGACACAGCTAAAATCATAATTCACGTTTCCAAGGTTATAGATAAATCTACTTCAACTAGCCAAGCGGTGTCTGTGTGTCCATTATGTCTGTATTTTGATGTATCCGTTATTAGTAGCTTTATATGTAACCTTGGAAAAGAAAAATCACAAAATATCAATTGGATACTCCAATATCAACGAAAATCCATAAAATTAATTATCTAGCAAAATTCCGAAATCTGAACGCGCATTGTCATGGCGAAAGAAATCTCTAAAAAAAAGTTAAGCCAAGTATTAAGAAACAGGAATATTCCGTGAGAAAACAAAGAAAATTATTCAGGACGACACTGTAATAACTGTATATGACAGTGAAGCATAGATGATGAAGAGACCTGAGACAGCAGAAAGGTGGTTCTACAGAAGGCCACTGAGAATACCTTGAAACGAACATGTGAGAAACGTCGAAATGTTAAGGAAATTATGGGGAAAAAAGAGACTTAAATAACATCGGTAAAAGCCCGCTGAAATTTCTCTGGCACACAATGGGGAAAGAGGGCCTGGAAAATTAGGCACTCACAAGACGAATTGAAGGCAAGAGGAACCGATGATAATTGCGCATAACATACCTAAGCAGCTGATTTCAGCTGTTCTCAGAAAATGAATTAGAAGAGATACCAAAAAGAAAATCATAAGTACAAATAAGAAGCTTATGTTGAGAGCCATATTTGCCGAAGTCCTGGAGGCACACTGCACGGTGAAGACGAAAAGGCAACGCGGGTGTTAAGGAAAAGTCGACTACTATAGTGTTCGTCGCGTGTAGCGGTGATGTCGATGATACGTAAAGCGAGACGGAGGGTTTTGAGTTTCGAATCACGCAAGCGTCGGTCTTTGACGACGATTTTACGAGTAAGAACCGCGGGGTATCAGAACAGATTCGAGTCGGCCATTAAATTTGCCGCGAGACAGCAGCCATTAAATTTCGCTTAAGTGAAAATTAGACTGAAAGCCGAACATGCTACCTGTCAAGAATACGACTCCGGGTTCAGACATTTGTAAAATGAGTCTGGGTGTTATTTTACTTTGTGTATTTTAGTGCTCAAATTAACATGAACGCTTATATTATCACACTAGTATCAGTTTCGTCATCACGTGTTTCCTAAAGAATCTTCTCAGTGTTCTTAGATGACTACACCATATGCATATTTGTGCGTGTATATATATATATATATATATATATATATATATATATATATATATATATATATATATATTAAAAGAAGAAAGAAAATTACTATGTTGATGCATATTCATTTTATTCCGAGTAGTTTAGATATTAGCACAATATCGTCATCGGGGTGTTACTTTTAATAGTATAAAAGCATCAACATCGTAATTTTCTTTCTTTCTTTAATAAGGATACTAAGAAACTTGTTCGTAATTACGAGAGGATCGTCTTAAAATATGTAAACAAAACTTGTCTAAATTATTTATTGATACATATATATATATATATATATATATATATATATATATATATATATATATATATATATAAATAAATGACTTTATCAAAGCAAAATACGAAATTTCGTATTTTGCTTTGATAAAGTCCACATTGAACGAAACGCGTCAGCAATTACCAGTTTTCCTATTGTCATTTTATTCATAAATATTGTCTTCTCTAGCGATTAAATCGGAGAAATTTTCATATATATATATATATATATATATATATATATATATATATATATATATATATCCAAGTGGAAAAAAAGTTTCCTTGCGATGCATATCGATTTTAGTCAAAAGAAGAAACGCATCACAAGAAAATCTTGTCATGCATATTCCCTAATATAGTTCTTGATATATATAAAATATATATATATATATATATATATATATATATATATATATATATATATATATATATATATATATATATATATATATATATATATATATATATATATATATATATATATATATATATATACGTCGCTACAATAGCTTCATTATTCAGCAGTCAAATTGTGCCTGCTCAGGCGATGTTAAATAGCTGGTCGGTAAAAAAAATTATTTTTAATTTCCAAAGCAGATAACAACAAACTGAAATTAAAATGAGACATGTGGGTTAACCTTGGTTATCCAATTAAGCATCAGACCTACTCTAAATTCAAAAAAGGGAATTTTGATCTTTGAAAATGCTATATATATATATATATATATATATATATATATATATATATATGTGTGTGTGTGTGTGTGTGTGAAAAGTGTATACATACATGTGTCATAGCCGAAACTGCCCACATATGTTTTTATATGTATGAGTCCCGACGGACGACCAAGTAATATATGTGTCTGCATACATCGATGTTTGCGTTAGTACGATGAATGACAAAACGACGAAATTTCCCCACCACTTCCACAATAACACCAATACACGCAATCTACATAAACCCACATTTTTTAAAACATTAATCAGTTTGTCTGACGATCGCGAAAGCGTGAAACCCAGGGTCACAAACTCACATCTATCCAACCAAATATATATATATATATATATATATATATATATATATATATATATATATATATATATATATATATATATATATATATATATATATATATATATATATATATATATATATATATAGTATATATATATATATATATATATATATATATATATATATATATATATATATATATATATATATATATATATATATATATATATATATATATTAATAGATATTTTCAATTAATGCGCATTTTGTGCTATGGATTTATATACCAAAATCCGATTAGTGCATTCATATGACTTGATTAATGCGGAAAAAAAAACATACTTCGGTTTAAACAAAAAACGTACTTTTTTTTATAGTTACCGATGTACAAATTAGCCGCTCTTATGGGCGATTTCTTATATATATATATATATATATATATATATATATATATATATATTCCAGGGCGAAAATGAATGGGATATATGTCGAAAGATGTTTTATTAAAAAGTGTGTGTATTATTAAATGTTAAGAATTTTTGAGAGCTTGCAGTAACGCGACTCTAAATTTTTGAATATTGTTGTAATATAGTAATTTACAATTTCTATTACCGTAAGAGACCCCCCCCCGTTAACATGACAGGGACAATTGGGCCAATAATTAGGGCAATGTCTCTTAAAGATTTCAGAATTTTTTATTTTTTTTTTTACTGCAGATCGATTCTTTTTTAAATTATTAAATAATGCAGCTTAATTAATATTGTACTCATTCAAAGAATAAATCAATTAAGTTAATGTAATTAATGGCTGATTCACTTACTACATTACTACAATATTAAAAAATCTAGCGTCACGTAACTGCACGCTCAAAAATTCTTAACTGTTAATAATATCAAACTTTTTTTATAAAACATCTTTTGACAAATATCACATTCATTTTCGTCTTGGAATTTTACCTGAAATTACCTTAAATTAAAAAAATTATATGCCTGAAGATGGTAATTTTTTTTTCCGAAAGTATTTGCAATATGGACCGAACTTCTAATCCATTTTACAATTAATAGAAAGAACGATCGTGTCATTCAGCGTGTGGTCAGTGAGTTAATGCCTTATTTAATGTGTTAGCGAAGTGAATTCACCATTAATTATATCATAATTATGTTTATTGATTTATTCTTTGAATGACTACAATATTAATTAAGTTGCATTATTTTATAATATATCGATCTGCAGTAAAAAAAAAAAAAAAAAGAAACTTCTTAAATCTTCTGGGACATTGCTCTAATTATTAGAACAATAGTATATGTCACATTGACGGCAAACACACAATAACAGAAATAGTGAATTACTACATTACTACAATCTTCAAAAATCTACAGTCTCATTACTGCACGCTCAAAAAATTCATAACTGCTAATAATAGCATACTTTTTAATAAAACAACTTTTAGACAAGTATATATATATATATTCTACTTATATTATTCGGACTATTGTCCTCATCTTAGTCACCATATTTATCACAACGTTTCGGCCGTGGTACGCTTCGGCCTTCTTCATTTAGATGGAATGTTAAACTGAACCCTTCATTTGACCTCAGGGACACGTGGCACGGTGGATAAAGGCCTTAGTAAGATCCAGTGACAGGACCCAATGAGTGTGTGTTCAATATCTGGTTAAGGCAGTGGAGAAATTCAGTAGGGGAATTTACAAGAGATAACTGACATCCATTAGACATGGCACGTGGAACTAGAAAAGTCTACCCCAGTGAGCGAAATAAAGGGTTCAGTTCGACATTCCAACCAACTGAAGAAGGCCGGAGCGTACAACGGTCGAAACGTTGGCGACAAAGATGAGGAAAATAGTCCGAATAATGTAAATAGTGTACATAATACCTCATCTCACAAATAATATATATATATATATATATATATATATATATATATATATATATATATATATATATATATATATATATTTTTTTTTCTTTGCCAACGCGTTTCACCTTCGGATGGACTATATCAGAGGTCACCAAAATCCGTCCCCTGACATCAGTTCATCCGGCCCGCTGGTTCATTGTGCCACAAATGAACTAAATTATAATTATTCATATGAAATTATCAATAGTTTTTAGTCAAACTTATTATATAGAAAAAAATTAAATATATGGAAGTTAAATGCCAAAATTTGGCCAATCTGATTATTGCGTAAAATAAGTTTTAGGGAAATCAGTGAAATAAAAAATTCGGCAACTTTGGTAATATTTGATATGCGAACGCTTTTTTTTTTGGTAAATACCTGCAATGAAGTATCTAAGAAAAGCGATTACGAGCCTGCTGCAGCAATTTTATTTTAAGTTGAATTGCCATGTTTAAACCGGTTTTCAAGTGTGCCGTATATAAAAAGGACTGACTTCAAAGAATCATGTCATATATTTTGTCTAAACTTATTATAAAATCTAAAGTCTGAAAAGTCAGCACATGTAACGAGATTGACTTATGAACATTAGAAAGCATTTCACTTGGTTGGATGCGCCAGTACCAAAACAAATATTAATGATATCTTAAAAGGTAAACGCTACTTTTGCAAATCTCACTAACCTTTTGTGAGATTCGGATATGTGCGCACTAGGTGTGATATAACTATTTTATTGCTATTGTCGCCTTCTTAAATGACTTTTTAGTAAATAAGTTTGTTTGTTGTTTTCATTTTTTGTACATTAAATGTAGTGTATTGTTTAAAATGGCTATCCGGCCCGCGTTTCTCATTCTCTCAGACATTTGTCCATCTGTGAAAAAAAAAAAATGAAAAGAAAAAGGTTTGGTGAACCCCGGGCTATATCAAGGCAAATGCGAAAATCACACCGAGGACTAAACACGTCAGCTAAGATGAGTTTTTCTTTTGTTTTTATTCATATTGTCCTTTTAGAGATACACACTATCAGGAATTTTACACACACACACACACACACACGCATATATATATATATATATATATATATATATATATGTATGTATGTATGTATGTATATATGTATTTATGTATGTCTGTCTGTATGTATGTATAGATAAATGGGTTGAGTAGGAACCAAAAGTAAAGAGGAGGGTAATTTTATCTAGGAAATTTCTTTATCTTTTTGACATTTTTAGCCATGTACTTGTGTATAAACTAGTAAACTAAATTGTCTTCGAGACAGGTTTATCAAACTGAAGCCGTACGAAACATGATATTCGACTGGCGAGTTGACCGCTGATAAATTTTAATTTGCGAAAACATGAGAGATAAGCGAAAAAAAGAGAGAGAAAAAAAAAATATATATATATAAAATTTAATTTCCAATGGAACGAGAAAGAAACAAGAAAGACAATACTGTCATATTTATCAGTCTGGTAACATATATCCAGTGTGTATCACTAATCCGAACTGCAGTACACCAGATAATACACAAAGCCAACTGATACTCTTCCCATATATATATATATATATATATATATATATATATATATAATAATGGACGAAAAGCTTTTAAAAATGTCCGAACAAAGACAAAAGTTTATATATATATATATATATATATGTATATATATATAAAAGTGAACAAGTCAACATTTAGAGGCGACAGTCTGTTTCATGCTATATGCAATCGTCAAGCCTGAAACAGACTGTCGCCTCTTTTATATTTACCCTCTATCTCTGATATTGAGCACTTTAACCCATAAATATAGCACACCTTAAGACTATATTTCTTTTATATATATATATATATATATATATGTGTGTGTGTGTGTGTGTGTGTGTGTGTGTGTGTGTGTGTGTGTGTGTGACCAATTAAATGGTTAAGTAATAACCAAAAACCAGGTATGCAGATATATTGTATATTAAACAATAAGTACACCAGAAGAGTATTACACGACTACTGAGAATGTATAGAATGAATTAGTTCCCCGAACCTACTCTCCTACTAATCTTATAGTAGGCTGAGGAGTCTAACATAGATTCTTAAGAGGGAAGACGGCACAACAATTACATGACCGCAAATCCTTCGTTTTTGAGTTATGTTTCAAGGAAGTTTATGGTAGATTGCGCTGTGTTGCCACATAGACTAGGTTACATTTGTCATTCGTTAACCTATGTGGCTACTCTCATCGTTTATCGTGTGTAGTAATGAGTTAGCTGAAAAGTGTTCTTTTAAACAATGCCAGTATATTCATATCGTGAGCAGGCAGATAAGTTTTTTTTTTGCTTATATATACGACCTCGCGAATGGTAATGAACTGTGAGTCTACACGTATGTAGCATACTGTATGGAAACCCTATACAAAAAAGGTTTATATGTATATATATATACTGTTTAATAAATGAACAGACCATCTACTCAAACATGAGCATACGCTAAAATAACGTTTAAGTAATAAATATATACCGGATTAGTAAATGAAAAATCTACCGCTCATATATATATATATATATATATATATATATATATATATATATATATATATATATTTTTATATATATATATATATATTCAAAAAAAACATATGCTGCCTGACGATGGTGTTTAGCATGAAACCGACGTTCGTCTCTTGGTGTTGACTTCAATATCCCATTTATATATATATATATATATATATATATATATATATATATATATATATATATTTATCAAATATGTGGTGCAGTTCAATTTATATTACATGAATCATTCATACACAAAGTAGATTAGTAAAGTTAATGATATAAAATGACGAAAAACATCGCAAACAAAATGTTTAAGTTGCATTAACAAGATCCTGTCGACCTTGGACGGCACCTCTGCTCAGTATCTTCTCGAGTTGGAGATCGGGTCCGAACCACGTTCCCAAGATGCGAACAGGTCCATCCGTCCACCCGAACATTCCTGGCAAAGCCCTCTCCTTCCATGCTCCCAGCCTCAGACCGATGGATTTGGATCGAGCGCTATGAGCGGGTGACAGGGGCAAGGATCAATAGATCCTAATCCATCGGGTCTGAGGCTGGAAGCATGGAAGAGGAGTATGTGTGTACGTGTGTGCGTGTGTGTGTGTGTGTGTGTGTGTGTGTGCAAACATTTTAAATACAACTAAAATATATATCAGTAAAAGGACAATATGAATTAAGACAAAAGGGAAATTTAATTTTACTAATCTACTTTTTGTATGAATGATTTAATGGACTTTCACCTTCAACATCCTATGTATGTAAATGTTATAAGAATTTAGAAATAATGAAATCATTTTATGTTTATTGGACACCTTAATTCGGCATAAACTTTCTTCGACATTGTTTCACGCTCTTTATCTTTTTCCAGACTTATTCCATTTTTCATGTCTTTTCTTAACCTTTTCTTCACAACCTTTTTGTTTTAGGATTTCTTTACTTTAACCAGAATATATACAGATTTTTTATCTTGTCCTTTTACTGATATAATTCATTTTATGTTTATCCTATGTCCCCCCCTCTTTTTCCAGTCGCCCTTCCTTTAGTTTTTCACATTAACGATAGCAAGTCACCCGTAGCCATTAATTTATTTGTGTTTAGAAAAACTAACCAAGGACGAAGTCAACTGATCACTTCAATCAAAACATCTGATTCCTTTATATTTTTTTTTATCATTTTTTAGTCTTTCTTTCATTTCTTTCTTTCTTTTTTTTTTTTTAACCTAGTTTTTCTTTCTTTCTGTTTTCTTTCTATCTATTTCTTTATTTTTTATTTCTTTATTATTTCATTCCATTCATCTATCTATTCTTCATTCTATCTATTTTTCTTTCCATATTTCTTTATAATTTTTCTTTCATTGTTTCTTTTCTTTTTTACACTTATTCCTGTTCTTTTCTTTCTTTTCTTTACAGTTTTCTTTCTTTTCATTTTCTTTTCTTTCTCTTTTTGCAGTTGTCTTTTTTTCATTAACGATCAAGCATTTATTTCTGCATAGTCAACTGCTTCAATCAAAACATGCGTTTTTTTCTTAGTCATTTTCTTTCTTTATTTCTTTCTTTCTTTTTTTTTTCTTTCTTTCTTTCTTTCTTTCTTTCTTTCTTTATTTCTTTATTTATTTATTATTTCATTCCACGCTACTCTTCTTTCTTTCTTTCTTTCTTTCTTTCTTTCTTTTTTTTTCTTTCTTTTTCTTTTCTTTATTTCTTATTTCATTCTTTTCTTTCAGCATTTTTCTGCATATTTCTTTTAGTTTTTCTTTCTTTCTTTCTTTCTTTTTATTTTTATTTTCTTTTCTTTTTTTTTTTTCTTTCTTTCTTTTTTCTTTTTATTTCATTACACTACTGTTCTTTCTTTCTTTTCTTTCTTTTTATTTATTTATTATTTCATTCCACGCTACTGTTCTTTTTCTTTCTTTCTTTATTTATTTATTTCTTTCTTCCACGCTCTTTCTTTCTTTCTTTCTTTCTTTCTTTCTTTCTTTCTTTCTTTCTTTCTTTCTTTCCTCCTGCAGTTGTCTTTCTTCTCAGCATTTTTCTGCATATTTCTGCCATAGTTGATACTTTTCTTTCTTTCTTTCTGTCTTTATTTATTTATTTATTTATTTATTTATTATTTCATTCCACGCTACTCTTCTTTCTTTTTTTATTTCCTTCTGCAGTTGTGTTTCTTGTCTTAGCATTTCCCTGCATACTTTGCCATAGTTGATACTTTTCTTTCTTTCTTTCTTTCTTTCTTTCTTTCTTTCTTTCTTTCTTTCTTTCTTACTTCCAGTCTCTCTTTATTTTTCACCCCCACAGCTTTTTCTCTACGTTTTCTTTAATCATTTTGCTATAATTAATAATTTTGTTTGTTTGTTTCTTTCTTTTTTCTTTTTTCTTTCTTTCTTCTTTAGTTGCTTTTGTTTTTCGTTTTCTCTTTTTTTGATTATTTTCATTGATTTTACTTCCTCGTTATTTACGGCCTTTCGACCTTCTAATATATTTACTCTCTCTCTCTCTCTCTCTCTCTCTCTCTCTCTGAATACAGATTTATCATATGCCACCATTTTTCTTCACCTACACCTAAGTCTGACCATTTTTCAAGTCGCCCTTCCGATAGTTTTTCACCTTGACGATAGCAATTCACCCGTAGCTTTTATTTCATTTGCCTATCAGAAACTTTTCTCTCTCAAATCTGTCACCAACATTTTAAGGGGCCCAAGTATTTCATTTATTCCTTCTTTCTTTTTTTCGTTCTTACTTACAATTACTTAATATTTAGTACCTTTTGATATTAATATATTTTTGTAGCTTTTTTAATTTGTAATCAGAATGTGTTTCCTTCTTTTTGCCACAATTGGTATTTTCATCCTTTCTTGTTTCTTTCCTTCATTTTTTTCTTTCATTTTTTTTTTTTACAGATATATCTTTTTTTCCCCTCTATTTAACTGTTCTAGTAATTACGTCCGTTTTGGTGTTGTTTTTGTTTTTTAATTTTACTTATTTTTACTTTTCAGTTTATCTTCGCTTTGCATTTTTTTTTTTTTTTTTTTTTTTCGTTCTTTCTTTAATTTTTTCTTACCTTCTTTCTTTATTTATTTTTTCTTTGCATTTTTCTTTCTTTATATATTTATTACCGTCTCTCTTTATTTCTTTCATTTTTCTTTCTATTTTCTTTATTTATTTTTTCATTGTATTTTTCATTCTTTCTTTCTTCCTCTCTTTCTTTCGTACCTTCTTTCTTTATTTCTTTCTTTTTATTTTTCTTTCTTTCTTTCTTTCTTTTTTACGTTCTTTCTTTCGATTACTTACAATTTCTTAATATTTAGTACCTTTTGATATTAATATATTTTAGTATTTTTTTTTATTTTTACTCAGAATGTGTTTCCTTCTTTTTGCCACAATTGATATTTTCATCCTTTCTTGTTTCTTTCCTTCATTTCTTTCTTTCGTTTTTTTTTACAGATATATCATCTTTTTTTTAATTATGTCCTCTATTTAAATGTTCTAGTAATTACGTTCGTTTTAGTTTTGTTTTTTTTTAAATTTTACTTATTATTTTTACTTTTTAGTTTATCTTCGTTTTGAAATTTCTTCTTTTCTTTCTTTCTTTCTTTCTTTCTTTCTTTCTTTCTTTCTTTCTTTCTATCAAAGCCATTTTTATTCGTCTGTTTTGTTTATAATTTTCTAATAATTTTGTTCTTCTTTTTCTTTTTTATCTCTATTTTTATTTCATTCTTTCATTCTTATTCACTGTAAATTTGCCTCCGTTCCCTTTTATTTAGGATGATTTTATTATTTTCCTTCGTATAGTTTGTAATTTGTATTTTCTTTTTTTATTCTTTTTCTCTTTCTTTCTTTCTTTCTTTCTAACTTTCTTTCATTCATTCTTTCTTTCTTTCTTTCTATCACTAAGCCATTTTTATTTCTCTTTTCCGTTTTCTTTTTCATTTGTATGTCTATTTTTCTTCTGTTTTCTTTTATTTAGCAAGATTTTATTATTTTTCTTCATTTAACTTGTTATTTGTGTCTTCTTTTCGTTTCCTTTTCTCTGTTTCCTTCTTTCTTTTTTCTAACACTTTTTTTCAACACTTTTTTTCTCTGTTCTGTTTATAATTTTCCAATAATTTCATTCTTGAATTTCTTTTTCTTTTTTCTTTCTGTCGATCTTTCTTTTTCCTTTTCTTTTATGTCTATCTTACTTTTGTTTTTTCTTTCTATCTTTCATTTGTCCTTACTTTCTTTTTCTTTTTTCGTTCTGTCTATCTCTCTTTCTTTCTGTCTTTCTTTCATTCTTTCTTTCTTTTTCTTTTTTCGTTCTGTCTATCTCTCTTTCGTTCTTTCTTTTTTATGTTTTTCTTTTTGTCTTTCTTTCTTTCATTCTTTCTTTCTTTTTCTTTTTTCGTTCTCTTTATCTCTCTTTCGTTCTTTCTTTTTTTATGTTTTTCTTTCTGTCTTTCTTTCATTCTTTCTTTCTTTTACTTTTTCCGTTCTGTCTATCTTTATTTCATTCTCTCTTTTTCTTTCGTTCTTTCTCTATGTTTCTTACCTTTCTTTCGATCACTATTCTTTCTTATTTCTATATTATCTTCATTATTTTCTACTAATTTCGTTCTTTTTTTTCTTTTGCTTTCTATTTTCTTTTTTTTTCTACTTAGAATTTCTTTCTATCTTATTTCTCCCTTGCATTTATACTTTCTTTCTTTCTTTCTTTCTCTATTTCTTTCTTTCTCACCTGTATTGTCAATAAATAATTTGTTTTCCTTTACTATTTCCTTCCCTTTTGATTTCTTCAGATTTTCGAATTAATTTCCTTTCTTTCTGTCCGTTCTCTTTTCAATCATTCATAATAGACAATGACTACGTCAGCCATGATGGAAAATGCCTGGTAACGGTAGACACTAATTATCTCCTCGGATTAAAGAGCAACTCGCATTACCAGAAACAGAATCCGCTTGCTCGTAGCGCCTTTTCTTCGTTCCCACCATGCCTCATTCGTTGCGGCTGTCTTGACAGTCCTCACGCAACGTCCATCTTATATGGCAATTCCTAAGTACGTTTGGCCCTTGGCGATGTAACTGAATACTTCTCCTGTGTTCCTTAGTTGATTTGGGCGGGCCTTTAGAAATACTAACCAAAGAACAAGCCAACAGATCACCTCAACCAAAACGTACATTTTAACCTCTTTCTTTCTGTCTGTCTTTCTTTCTTTCTTTCCCTCTTTCTTTCCCTCTTTCTTTCTTTCTTCTTGTTGTTTCCGCTTTTCTTTTCCCCCTAACCCCGTATCAGCATTATATGTCATCTCTTACTTTTAAGTTTAGCCAACTTGATATTTATTCTTTCTTTCTTTCTTTCTTTCTTTCTTTCTTTCTTTCTTTCTTTCTTTCTACTCCCTGTTATTTCGTCCTTTCTTTCTATATCTCTCCCTGTCTTCGTTTCAGATATATATATCTTCCCGTATTCTTAAGTTTACCGCCTAATCTCTCATTATCTATCTATCTATCTATCTATCTATCTATCTATCTATCTATCTATCTATCTATTTATCTCTTACTTTCTTTCTTCTGCATTTTAACTTTTCTCAGTGTGCTTCTCATTCTCTTCGCAATAATTGTCAAGTATTCATTCTTATTTCTTTCTTTCTTTCTTTTCAGAGTTTCTCTTCTTTTCTCAACATTTTGCTTCTCTTTCGTTTATATTTCTCTCTCTTTTAGGCATTAGTTCTACGTTTATTTCCTTCTTTCTTTTCCCAGTTTCTCTTCTTTCCTCGGCATTTCCCATCTCTTTCATTTGCCCATAATTTATGTTCATTTTTATTTTCTTTCTTTCTCCTCCATTTTTTTTCTTTTCACAGTTTTTTTTCTCTCTTTTTTTTTAGGCATTAGTTCTTTTCTTCTTTCTTTTCCCAATTTCTCTTCTTTCCTCAGCATTTTCCATCTCGTTCATTTTTGTCATAATCTTAAACATGTTCTTTCTTTTTTTTTCTTCCCTCTGTTCTCCTATACCGTCTTGCTTTCTTTTTTCTTTTTGAAGATTCTTGTTTTTCATTCGTGTATATTATTTCTTTCTTTCTTTTTTCTTTCTTTTTTTCTCTTTTTTTCTTTCTTTTTTCTTTCTTTTTTCTTTCTTTTCTTTCTTTTTTTCCTTTTTTCTTTCTTTTTTCTTTCTTTTTTCTTTCTTTTTGCCCCTTTACCTTCCTTCTTACCCTGTTGCCTTTTTCTTTTTTTTTCATGTCCTTTCTATAATTCCCAATTATTTTTCTTTTTTTACTTTTTCTTTTTTGATATAATTTTTTCTCTCGTTTTTCTCCCTTTATTTTTCAATCTTTTTTCTATTCATAATGTTTTTTTTTCTTTTTTTACGTTTTCTTTTTTGCTTTCTTTTTCCAAATTGTCTATTTTTTTCTTACTTTTTCTTTTTACCTATAATTTTCTTTCCTTCCCTACTTACTTTTCTTTCTTTCCTTTTTTTCTTCCCACTTTTTTTTTCTTTCCGATACATTTCCTTCTTCTTCCTTTCAAATGCCTTTGTTTTTTACACTTTATTTTTACATCTTATTTTATCTGGTGGTTTCCATTATCTCTTTCCTACTTCAATTGTTTCATTCGTCCTTTATTAATGTTCTATCTTTCCTTCATATCTCATTCTATCTTCTGCCTCACCCAAGCAATGGTTTCCTTCTTGTATTTCCATTGTCCTCATGACTGTCTCACATGTTCTTGTTTACTGATCGAAAACAAAAGCTCTGACACTAAAAACGTCCAAAGAAACGCCCATTTATGTTTATGTACAAACTAGCATAGTACCCATAAAGAAATAACGTATTTATTTCTTCTTCTTCTTCATTTGTTTTCTCCCTCTATTCTTGATCTTTCTTCTTCTTCTTCTTCTTCTTCTTCTTCTTCTTCTTCTTCTTCTTCTTCTTCTTCTTCTATGTTCACGCTTCATACTTGATTTTCTGTTTCTTCTTCTTTTCTTTACCCTCTTCATTCTTCATCTTCTCCTTCTTCTTCTTTTGTGTTCTCGTCTACATTCTTGATTATCATCATCATCGTCTTTTGTGATCTCTTTTTATTGGTGATCTTTTTGTTGTTCTTCTTCTTCCTCGTCTTCTTCTTCTTTTTCTTTTGTATTCTCGTCTTCATCTTTCATCATCATCATCTTCTTTTATGTTCTCTTTTTCTTCTTCTTTTTCTGTATTTTCTCTTCAATATTTATCTTCTTTTGTAATCTTTTCCTTCTTTTCTTCTTTTGTGTTCTCTCTTCAATCTTTATCTTCTCTTATATTTTTTCTTCAATCTTTATCTTTTTCTTCTTTTCTTCTTTTGTATTTTTTCTTCATTCTTCTTGTTCTTCATCTTCTGTTTTCTCGTCGCCATTCTTCGTCTTCTCCTTTTCTGTTCTCGTCTACATTCTAAATCATCTTTTTGTGATCTCGTTTTATTCTTGATCTTTTTTGTTGTTGTTGTTGTTGTTCTTCTTCTTCTTCTTCATTCTTTTCTTGTACTTGTCCTTCTTCCTCTTCTTTTGTGATCTCTTTTTACTCTGGATCTTTTTTTTTTCTTCTTCCTCTCTGTTCTCGTCTGCATCTGTCATTCATCATCATCATCATCATCATCGTTTATGTTCTCTTTTTATTCTTGATCTTTTTCTGTTGTATTCTCTCTTCATTTTTGTTGTTCTTCTTCATCATCTGATTTCTCGTCTCCATTCTTCTTTTTCTTCTTCTTCTGTTTTCACCTCTTCGTTCTTGATTTGCTTCTTTTATCTTCTCTCATCATTCTTCTTCTTCTTCTTCTTCTTCTTCTTCATTCTTCTTCTTCTTCTTCTTCTTTCGTTTTCTCTCTTCATACTTCTTCTTCTTTCGTTTTCTCTCTTCATTCTTCTTTTTCTTCTTCTTCTTCTTCTTCTTCTATCTTTTTCATTCTTCTTTCGTTCTTTTGATTTTTTTATCTTCTTCATTCTTCTTCTTTTTTCTTCTTCTTCTTCTTCTTCTTCTTCTTCTTCTTCTTCTTCTTTTCACCTCTTCGTTCTTGATTTGCTTCTTTTATCTTCTCTCTTCATTCTTCTTCTTCTTCTTTCGTTTTCTCTCTTCATTCTTCTTCTTCTTCTTCTTCTTCTTTCGTTTTCTCTCTTCATTCTTCTTCTTCTGTTTTCACCTCTTCGTTCTTGATTTACTTCTCTTCATTCTTCTTCTTCTTCTTCTTCTTCTTCTTCTTCTTCTTCGTACCGTATTCCTCCAGGTGGCATACAATCATGGCTCCTTAAAACAACATAACCTTCGTAGTTGTTTGCAACGTTTACTTCTTATTATCCTTTCCAACTCCCTGATATAGCAAGCATTCACAGAAATTTGTTAGATAGGCGGTTCACTTTTCTCTTCTCTCTTTATTGATTGTTTCATTGATTCCTTCTTTAACGGTTTATCAAATATTTACACATTATTTAACGCCAGAAAATAGTTTTAGATTTATGAGTTTTTTTTTGTGATTAGTGATACTCGTCTTATTATTTAATCCATAGCTGGAGGGAAGGTGGATTCATACCTTACCTAAGGATATATGTGAGTAAGTTTATATAATGAACCCAACAGGAATTGGAAATCGGCTTTCCAGTTAAAGATTCCTAGCCATTATCCATAACGCAGCCCACACGTCCAAGCTTTCACCAACTAGTATTCCCAAGCTATCACCAATTTAGGTACTTGCCAGCCTCTACGTTGCTTAACTTCGCTGATTGTACAAAAACGTATATTTCGAAATGATGCGACCTTAAGGCTCTCTCGCATTTACTTTCGAAGACTCTTTGACAGTGCCAAATACTTAAAGTCCTTTTCATTCATTCGATGTCTGCAATGTTGATCCTAATTTACGACATCTTATTGGAATATTATGAAAAAAAAAAAAGAAAATTAAACAGAGAATTATTTTTTAAATTATATATATATATATATATATATATATATAAGAAGAAATATAGTCTTAATATGTGCTATATTTATGGGATCTAGCATGAAACACACTGTCGCCTCTAAGTGCTGACTTCTATGTTCACTTTTATATTTACACACACTATATCTCGGATATTGAGCATTTTACATATGTATATGTTATTCAACTACATCTACCACCCTGAATATATAAAAGAAATCAGATGAATATGCTTCCTCCGTTTAATTTTTAAAAAATAAACCATCTACTCGAATATGGGTATCCATCAAAAATAATGTTTTAAAAAAATATGATAAATGTTAAAATATGTCGGATTTAAACCATATATATATATATGGTCCCGCATATATATGGTTACATTGGGTCCTGAAGCCTTTCTTTGTGCAAACAACGAGAGTGTTTGCTGGGACTCGCTGTCATCTGCCTCTAGTTCCTTCTTGCATATATATAATATATATATATATATATATATATATATATATATATATATATATATATATATTTTATATATATTCTTATTGTACATTTCTCTGTTTTAATTTTGAATCTCCGTGGAAGCCTGAAGAGCAGGAGCGAAACCCGTTCCCCCCTTGTTGTTGTGTTTTTTTATTATTTAATATTGTTTTAATATGTCTTGTAATATTAAATTTTATACTTTTATTTCGATCATTAAATTTTGTACCTACAAAAATATCTTTTAAAATATATATAAAGATGTTTTTATGTTTATACATTCTTTTTATAGATACAAATATTTAAGTAAATGCTCAGTTTTATATTAAACAGCCTAAATGTCCGAGAAATTTTCATAGAAAATTTTCGTCCCTCGACAGGAATCGAACCTGTATCGTATACGGAACCGTCATTTAGCTTGACGTGCCTTTACCGAGGAGCGTTAGGTTAGCAAGGTCGATTTTAACTGTCTTTAAACCGAACGCTCTTCTGTGTGCGTCTAAATTACTCAAAAATGGGAAGAAAAAAAACACTGTCACCTCATTTTAAGAGTTATATTTACCAAAATTACACAAAAATATCTTGAAATAGTAAGGAGTAAATTTATTCAACATCAACGTCATTGGCTTCAACAAAGGCCACCAGAAGACTTCGGAATTCCCAGCAACTCTTCTCGACGCTCTTTTTGTTTAAGTTGGTCTACTTCTTGTGTGGCTTAGTGCAAGGTCTTGTTACAAAACATAGGAACTTTCAGGGAAACATTACCTTCCAAAGGCACTTGATGTAGGCCTCCGTGTTCAGTTTGAGGCCCTCACCAACAAAGTCGGGAATTTCTTTTCTTATCAAAACGATCAGAGTGAGTTTTTGAGTTGTTATAACTTTGTAACAAGAAATACAATCATCCAAATCTTTTCGAATCCTCTGCATTGTCTTCAAATTGCCACCCAAACACTGTGATATTTTATTGGATTTTCTGGCACGAATGCCAAGCAGTACAGCATGCTATTTACAAAATTTCTGACGGTATAAATTGCGTCATGGTGATTTTTTTTCACAGACAGTGCCCAAGTGTGAATATATATATATATGTATATATATATATATATATACTACAAGAATAGTATAAGAAAATATTGTGTATATATATATATATATATATATATATATATATATATATACGACAAGCATTTTCTGAAAATATTTTGCCTATATATATATATATATATATATACTATCATTTCATGAGAAATATTTGGCTATATATATATATATATATATATATATATATATATATTACAAGGATTTTATGAAAAACATTTTGCCTATATATATATATATATATAAACTACAAACATTTATGAAAAATAATTTGGCTATACACACACACACACACACACACACACACACACACACACACACACATATATATATATATATATATATATATATATATATATATATATATAGTACACACTGTATGAAAATATTTTGCGTATATATATATATATACTACAATCATTTCATGAGAAATATTTGGCTATATATATATATATATATATATATATATATACTTTGTGTACAATTGGATAAAAATATTGTGCTTATAACATATATATATATATATATATATATATATATATATATATATATATATATATGTACAAGCATTTTATGAAAAACATTTTCCTATACTGTGGCAACATCTCTTCATTCTGAGGGTACACGGCTGACAGTTTTCTGGTTGCTGTTTCCGACTGGTAGTTAGGAGCCCTAACTCTTGCGTAGTGTCTTGAGCGGCTGCTCTGATCAACAGTTGTATAATACCGGGGTGTTTGTAGTGCCATGTCGCGCGTGGAAAGGTGTCCCTGCAGTCACCTCCGGTGGGCAGACCTGAGGCCACATAATGATGCGGATTTTGCCAACTCCTCTCTGCACGCGTCACGGTCGAAACTGTCTGTTTTCTCTTACCTCAGGCCTTCTCATCTTTGCAAATAAATCCAACATGAGTTACAAAAACCGAAAGATTTACCCTAAACCAGCATCTCAGAAACCACCTAAACCCCTCAACATTTCATTCTCCAACATCCGGGGCATTAGAACAAACTTCTACAGTCTGGAATCTTTCCTCATTGCAAACGGCCCGGATGTACTGGCTCTCTGTGAGACAAACCTTGTCTCATCTATCCCCTTCTGATCTCTCGATCCCCGGCTATCTTCCTCTCCTCAGAAAAGACTCTCTAACCCACATGCACGGTCTTGGTGTCTACGTCAAGGAACATCTCCCCTGGCCAGAGAGTCCTCTCTTGAATCGCCTGAACAGTCATACATGTGTCTCCGTCTCTCTCTCCTCAATGCGGTAAGCTATCTCTTCTTCCTTTACCGCTCTCCATCCTCTCAAGACTGTGAGATACTTGATAGCATTTCAGACAACATAGACAAGGCTCTCTCCTCCACCCGTTTGCTCACATTTTTGTGTTTGGAGACTTTAACGCCCATCACACTCTGTGGCTTAAGAATGCTACTACTGACCATGCAGGCATTCAAACGCTT